ACACACACACACACACACACGATGAAAGACTTTTATCCAGAAGATATAAATAGCTCCTACAACTCAACAATGAAAAGACAAACAACCTAATTCCTTATTGTGAAAATAAGCAAAACAACTCGAACAGGTATGTCACAAAGGACGATATACAGACACCAAAAAAAGCACTTGAAAAGAGTAGTCATCATTAATCATGAGGGAAATGGAAATTAAAACCACGGTGTGATACCTCTAAACTCTCACTGCTGTTGTGTGCTGTCTGGATGACTCCAACTCATAGCAATTCCATGTAACAGTGTAGACATGGCCCATAGAGTTTCCTTGGCTCTAATCTTCATGGGATCAGATCGCCAGGTCTGCTAATCTTTCGGTTAACAGCTGAGTGTTTAACCAGTGCACCACCAGGGCTCCTTAAACATTCACTGGAACGGCTCAGATCAAAAAGTCTAGCAACACCAAATATCGGTGGGCATGTGGCACAACCGTAACTTACACATTACTGGTGGGAATGTCAGAGGTGAGAAAAGGTTTTTGACAGTCTTCCAGAAAGTGAAACCTACCCTTCTACCCTCCCCCGACCCAAGCCATCTGTCAGTTCATTGTACTGCTGTGGTTTGCGTGTTGCTGTGATGCTGGAAATTTCAAATCCCCACAGGGTCAACCATGGTGGTCAGGTGTCAGCAGAGCTTCCAGACTAAGACAGACTAGGAAGAAAGATCTAGTGATCTACTTATGGAAATTAGCCAATGAAAACTCTTTGGATTCACAATGGAGTATTAGCCAATATAGTGCTGGAAGATGAGCCCCCTAGATTGAAGGGCACTCAAAATACACAGTGGTTGCTACAACAGACTTGAGCACAGCAACAATGGTAAAGACGGTGCAGGACTAGGCAACATTTTATGATGTATATGGGGTTGCCATGAGCCAGAGCCGACCCAACAGCAACTAACAATACCCTTTAACCCAGAATTCCTCTCTTAGATAACTGTTGCTGTCAGTTGCCCTCATGCCAAGTCCAACTCATAGAGACCCCATGTGTGCAGAATAGAGCTGACTTCCACAGGGTTGGTTTTTTTTTTTTTTTGGCTGTGACCTTTTAGAAACAGATCACAAGTCCTGTCTTCCGGGTGAATATTGAATATGAACTGCCAACCCTTTGGCTAGTCGAGTGCTTAGTCACTTACATCACCCAGGGACTCCTAGATATTTCCCCAAGAGAAATAAAAATACATGTCCTCAAAAAGAAAAAAAAAAAAAGGAAAAATTCTAGAAGCATATTCATAGCTGCTTTATTCACAATAACCAAAAAGTGTTACTAACCTGAATGTTCATCAGGAAAACGGTTAAGAAACCGTGATACATTCATACAATGGAACGTTTTTGTTAGGTGCCTTCGAGTTGGTGCCGACTCGTAGCAACCTCATGTCGAGTAGAACTGCCCCATGGAATTTTCTAGGTTGTATCTTTACAGAAACAAATTGCCAAGTCTTTCTCCCACAGAACCACTAAGTAGATTCATACCACCAACCTCTTGGTTAGCAGTCAAGAACTTAACTATTATGCCAAATACTGTTCCTTAGTAGGTAGAAATGATTACTGCCACACTCAGCAACATGGGTGAATCTTAAAATTATTAGCAAAAGAAACGGTTCCCAATGTAGGACAAAATTAATCTCAGGCTTAAAAAAAAAAAACAGAACCATGGAGGAGGAGCAGGGAACAACTAGGAAGGAATGTGAGAAACTTTGTACAGAGATGGACTCATTCTCTAGGATGACAGGGTGTGTGTTCATAGGGTATCCATTTGTCAAAATGGAACAGCTAAGATTTGTACATTTACTGTATGCAAATTTTACCTCCCAAAGCTATAAAAATATACTAATTGAGTTAGGAAGTGAGTGGGTATAGATGGTATAAGAATGGCAGAATGCTGGTGATCATTGAGGCTAGGTGATGGCTACACAGGGAGTTTCATTAAACTGTTATGCTAACTTTGCAAATGTTTGAAATTTCTATAATAAAAAGTTACCCTGTAACTAGCTGCTGTCAACTTTGACCACATGTGTGTCAGAGTAGAACTGAGCTCCACAGTGTTTTCAATGGTTGATTTTTTGCAAGTACATTGCAGACTTCTCTTCTGAGGGCCCTCTGGATGGACTGGAACTACCAACCTTTCAACTAGCAATCAAGTGCATTAACCATTTGGACCACGCAGGGACTTCAATAAAAAGTTAAACAAAAATAAACAGCTACCTAGCAATCAGTGTTCAGCCAAAAAGAATAGTAGGAATACATTGCTATTCTTTGAGACACACACTAGCTCGCCACACTAACAGCACTTAGAGTAGCAGTTCACGGCACTCCTTCAAGACAAGAGGCTGAATCCCAGGTCTCTCCTCCACCTGGCTCAAAAGTGGAGCAGGCAAGAAGGAAGGTGGCAGGGCCTGCGGACACTGGCACCAATGAGTCTCATTCAACATCTACTGGGCCTCCATCTAGGAAAATCTTAAGTCACATGAGGCAGTGGTGGTTCAGTGGTAGAATTCTTGTCTTCCATGCTTAAGATCCAGTTCCATCACTGGCCAATACACTTCATGTGCAGACACCACTCATTTATCAGTGGAGACTCGTATGTTGCTAGGATATGGAACACGTTTTACTGGAGTTTCTGGACTAAGATGGACTAGGAAGAAAGGCCTGGCAATCTACTTCCAAAAATCAGGCAAATGAAAACCCTGTGGGTTACAGCAGTCTGATGTGCAGGTGATCGAGTGGATGGTGCGGGACTGGGCAGCATTTCATTCTGTTGTGCGTGGGGTCACCACGAGTCCGGGATGACTCAATGGTAGCTAACAACAAAGTTCAGCATGCTCCCCTCTACAGTCTTTACTTCCCTTTAAAAGAAGGAAGGGCTCACTTTTAAACACCACTGAGTCGTCCAAGTTCTATACTATCTCCTTGTATCAACCCCACAGAAACTGCTTTCCTCCCCATGCTGAAGAGAACTTGCAATGACATGAGCTTAGTTTTCTGCTTTGGAAATTCTAATTTAGCTGTTGTTAATGGAACTTTTAATGACTAAAATGAATTCAAGTTGGAGTTGTACTTTTTGTCCACTCTAATTTATTTTAACTTATTTTATTCAGTGATACTCAAAGTAGTGTCCTGAAACTACTTGTTACCCATTTATAAGCAGATGTTGTTGTTAAGTGCCTTAGAGTCAGTTCCGATCTATTGTGACCCTCTGTACAACAGAACAAAGTGCTGCCCGGCGCTACTGTCTGAGCCCACTCTCACTGCTACTGTGTTAATCCATCTCATTGAGGGCCTTTCTCCTCTTCCCTGCCTTTACCCAATATAATGTCCTTCTCTAGGGACTGGTCCCTCCTGATAACATGTCCAAAGTTCGTGAGACAAAGTCTCACTATCCTCTCTTCTAAGGACCATTCTGGCTGTATGTACTTCCTTCAAGACAATCTTGTTTGTTCTTTTCGCAGTCCATGGTATATTCAATACTCTTTGCCAACACCATAGTTTTAAATAAGCAGGTAGGGCGCTTATGTCAGAATGTAAATCAACACATGCTTTCTACATCCACGAAGTTTTATTCCACCCCTCCAAAAAATGCTGTGTGTTTGGTAATGTAGCTGATTCACATTCTATTGCAAGCTCCTTCAGCTCACCATAGACCAGTGGACCATACTCTTAAGTAGGCCAGTTTATCAGTGTTTGGAATGGTGTGGCAACAAAAATTTACCTGCCAATGGTGAAACGAGAAACATTAGTGTAATACTTCCTGATGCTAAATATGCTAAGTTCTTTATTCTGTTTATATCCTTCCTAAATATTTAGTATTGAAAATGTCCTTTTATTAAACAATGGTGGTAGTAGATGGTAGTTATTCTGTTCTTGTACTTTCTTAGAAAATAAAGTTGACAACCCTGTAACTACCATCTGAAATTTTCTTTTAGAAATATTTTCTATGTTCTTAAAATCCAGAGTCTGGAAACCACTATCTCAAGTGCGATTACAAAAGGAGCAGCAAAATATTCTTTACAAGAGGCTTTGCCACCAACTAACTTAATGTAAACTCTCAGTGCTTCAGTTTCCTCATCTGTAAAATGATTACAATAACAGTACTCACATTCATAGGGTTGCAGAGAGGATTAATGCTTAGAAAAATGTCTGGCATGTAGTTAGTGCTAGTCAGCTACCACTATTTTAAGTACTTTATATTCACTTTTATTAGTTCAAGTTGAGCCACATTCCATCTGTCTATCATTGGTAATACCATGTACAATTTCTTTCAGAGAGGCCCTGTAGCACCAAATCCCAAATTAAGGGTGAGTCTTAAAGTTAAAACACCATGTTGTAATCCAAAAACTCAGAGCATGAATAGGACAACTTAAAGTCACATGCCTCCAAGTAAACTTCATAAACAGAAAAAACCTGGCTGCCATGTGGGGCCAGATTTATATAAGTAAAAACTCAAAAAGGTAAGCACTGATACAGGGAGGGAGGATTCAAGTTGTTTACTTTTATACAGTCGAGAATAAAAGACTGCCAGTGGCCAAAGTAAGACAGAAATTTTGAGTAGCAGAACTATTTCAGGGACAGGGAAGGAAGAACAGGTATTACTGCATTAACTAGTACACAGTATCAAATTCTTTCTGCCTATTACAATAACAAAAACAAAAACTGCTGAGGCTACTTATGTACAACTAAACTCATATTTGGTTCCTTGGTTTAGAGGTTTGGGGTCATGGTTTCATGGTACATCCCAGTTAATTGGCCTAAAGCCCTTTCAAAACCCAATTATTTTTTCCCTTTAAGATTTTTTTTTTTTTTTTTAATACTATGTGGAAGGCATGCCGAATAAAGAAATCTCTGTTATGAAATATGGATTTTGATACATATTTTGTATGTCCCCAAAAATGCCGGAAGTAGGAAATATTTGCAATATGAGGCAAGGGTGAAATTGTTTTATCTTAGCACTTTTATTTTTTTTCATGAAACTTTTCAAAACATGGGTCAATACACAAAGGCACCTGGCACTGCTTGCACATAACTCTTGTTCTCGTCTCCTTCTTCCTAGTGCTGCATTCTCGGCATCGCCTCCGAGATCCTTTGACAGGAAGATGCTTTCCAACCTGTTGCAGCCGCACCTCATCTGGCACCCCCGTTACTCCTCGTTTGACCCATGCCATAAATGAGGGTCTTCCTCTTCTCTTCCTTTTCCGGCCCACAGTAAGCTGCCTAATGAGAGCGAGCCTGAAGGACAGCTGGTTACATCTGCCCCCATGGTTACAGTTCCACATTGTAAAACTGTTTACGATGGCAAGATCAACAAGAAAATGCAGCAACCGATGCCACCATTTGCGAGAGCGCCTTCCAATTGCATACCTCTCACAACTCTGGTCAAAGTGGTCCACTCCTCCCATAATGGCATTGTATTCTGCAACTGCTCTTGGGCAAGGGATCTGTGAGGAAGAACCGTTTTTGTTCTTTCTTTTGACAACAGTGATATCCTTTGGATTGTGGAACGTTGACAAAACTGTCACAGGTTTATTGTCCTGCCACTTTATGGCTGACACACATCCTTTCGTACGAAACCTAAATTCTCCACGCTGTAAATTATCTTTCCTCCTCAGCATGTCTGGTAGCCCCTTTCTAGTTGCTCGTACAGTGCCAACAGCATACAGTCCCCTTTCTTTCATGCTTTTCATTAAGTGATAAGATGTAAAATAACTGTCAAAGGAAATAAGCCTATGAGAATGATACCATGAATGACATAGTCCAAGTACAACACTCTCACCAAAGGAGAGAGATGAGTTGTTGTCTACACCTTTTTTTCCACAACAGATATCAAACTGACTCACAAAACCAGTTTGTGAATCAGCCAAGCACCAAACTTTATACCCACGCTTAACAGGCTTTATGGGCATGTATTGTTTTAGTGATGAACGGTCCTTGAATGGCACCATGGTTTCATCAACTGCCATGACACTTGATGGCATATATACCTCCTTCAGGCGGCTATTGAGAGCATTGATAATCGGGCGCAATTTGTGAAGCCAGTCATAGCCAGGTTCTCCTTTGGGCACAGCTTTTGAATTGTCATTGCAGTGTATGTTTTCAGTCAGTTTCTTAAATCTGGCTTTAGTCATAAGATCTGGAACCGAAGCAACACCCAAGAGGGGGTCACTGGACCAATAATGCCTGAGCTCTGGCAAGATGTGTATACCCATCAGTATGTGCACAGCAATGAATGCCTTTATTTCCTCTACAGTTGTCGGCTGCCAATTTTCTGTTGACCTTCTAATCTCCTGCCCTCTAGACCGTGTGATGCGCTCCTGGGTTGCATAAAGATTCGTTTGGTCCTTTATAGTTTCCAACATCTCTTCCGTAAATACAGACAAAAAATAATCTATTTCTGTGTCTGTGTGGGTCAAGTCTGGGTAAACTTGGGGATGCTGCTGAAGCGAGCCAGTTAGATTTTCAAAGTAGGAGACATCCTCGCACCATTCCCCTTCATTTCCTTCCCTTTCACCATGGGCATCATCATCTGCTTCATCCCTCTCCTCTGCAATGTCGGCTTCTTCCTCATTCTCAACTCCCATGTCAGTGTTGTTGTTCCTACCTTCAGAATGTGCTGCTGATTGCTCAAGACTGGTAAGGTCCTCCAAGGCATCCTCGTCACTCTCCTCCTCCGAGGCATCCTCGTCGCTCTCCTCCTCCGAGGCATCCTCGTCGCTCTCCTCCTCCAAGGCATCCTCATCACACTCATCCTCTGAGTCCTCCTCATTGTTGGGCAGAGAAAAGAAATACTCTAGAATTTCTTCGGTGGTTCTAAATCTCTTTGCCATTTCTAAAACAGAGGGATGTTTCAGAAAAATATAATTGTTGGTTCTGCAAAACTAGGAGAATACCTATAGCATACCTCCAAACAAACATGAGAATACACAAGGGGAGAAAATTGCCTAATTCAAATGTCCTGCATAAATAGATAAAACCAAAGGAATTCGTGTCTGCGGCAAATCACCTCTACAATGAATTCCTTCTTATCGTAAAAGCAGTACGTACAGCTCAGAAGCTAGAAAAGCAGTCCCGGAAGACTGCAAGTCAACAACAGCTGATCAGGGATGCCAAAACACATGCGTACAATCAGTGGTGTCTTAAGAATGAATGGCGCCTAAGAATAACATATAGGAATTTGAGTCTGTGGAAAATCACCTCTACAATGAATTCTTTCTTACAGCAAAAGTAGTACTTAGAGCTCAGAAACAAGAAGGTCAGTGCCGGAAGACTGGAAGACAACAAGTGACAGCTGATTAGGGACCCTGCAACATGTGTGTATACAATCAATGGCACCTGAGAATGAATGGCACCTAAGAATGAATGGGGCCTAAAAATAAACTATTCTAGTGAGAAGTACAGTCTCCCAAGCACACAGGTACCAGGAAATGTACTTACAAGGCTTATCTCCCAGTGAAACAGCCAAAACAGACAAAAGTTTTGCAAAACCAAGCCTCAGGATGCAACAACTGAAACAATACCCTTTCAGCACAGTATCGCAAACGCCCCATCTCTTTAGTTTCACGCAAACAGTTCTCCACCTGGCAGCAGCACGAGATGAAATCAGGAAAACAGCTGTTCAAAAACACTGAGAATCTGAAAATGTTTCTAGGTGCATTCTGTCCCAAGAACCACAAAAAGGATACCATGTTTAGTGCCCCTGTCCTACCTCCTAATTTGTTGCACAATGCCTGGGACCTTAAAAGCTTGCAAGCAGCCATCCAAGGCACAACTGGTCTCTATTCGCCTGGAGCAACAGAGGAAGAAGGAGAGTCAGGAATTGAATGAGGAAATGGAATGTGTGGCTAATTGCCTCCATGAACAACTGCCTCCTTTGCCATGAAAACAGAAGTGGATGGTGTCTGGCTAGTATTACTGAACTTCTTCACCAAAGATTCTACAACAAAATCCTGATTAAAAGCAGAAAAATACAGACTTTCAAATTCCCATGGACTCCAGACCTTCTGAAGCCATGGATGCTGGATGAACCCCTGAAACTACTGCCCTGAGATAATCTTTGATCCTTAAACCAAAAATATCTCCTGAAGTCTTAAAACCAAGCAAAATTTAGCTTAATTAGTAAAGAATGTCTGCATTGAGCATTGTGCTCTTTCAAAACCTATGGCTATGGGATCCATATCCATATCCATAGATAGGAAATTTAGGGGGCAGTGAGTTTATGTCAATGGGGAGAAACAACTCAGAAAAGATTACACAACTTGAAGAATGTAATCAATGTCACTGAAATGTGTATGTTCAAACTACTGAATTGATAATATGCTTTGCTTTGTGTATTCTCAGTAGCAATAAAAATAAATGATTATTTTTAAGAATTTCTGCCTGATTTCCTACTGGGGGCACATTGTTGTTAGTTGCTGTGGAGTAGGCTTTGACTAATGGAGACCTCAGGAGTACAGAGCAAAATTGCTCCACAGGATTTGCAATTTGTGACCTTTCAGAAGCAGGTTGCAGGCGTGTCTTTTGGGGCATCTTTGCGTGGGTTAAAACCACTAACCTTTCCTCTAGTAGTCAAGCACTTAACCATAGGCACAACCTATGGACTCCTACTGAGGGTTTAGAATCATGTAATTGAACACCTTCCAGTTCAAAGTAGTCATCTAGACCTGTGGCTCCTACTGTCATGGGAGTGAGGAGGAGGGTAGACTCATAGGCCATTGTCAAATACCCACAACAGAAGTCAGGAATCCAGACTTCCTTTAGTATCCTTAAAAAAATCAGATAAACCACAATTCTAGGTATTGCTTTGGCTCCTAAGGTCAGGTAAAGGAACATCTCTGCTCTCCTCCTCCCACTTTATACAAGATTGACTCTTGCTCCTTACCATTTGCCTGTAAGGGGTAGGTAGACTGTGAAGATTCACTTTTTAACTGGTTTGCCAAAGGCAACTTTAAACATGGTGACTCCTGTGCTGTTTCCATAGGTTCTGTCTCCTTCAAAGGCATTTCCTGTGAGCTAACAGGAACCTAGGGAAAAACAGGTACAGACGGGTTCATGAGGGCATTAATATGGGAACTAAAAACTAAAAAATCTAAGAAGCAAGAGAAAAATCCATGAAAATACCAATGGGAGAAGAAAAAAGAAAAAAAAACTTCCACATTCAAAGATAAAGATAAAATTGGAAGCAAGTAGCACTAGACTTGAGTAGAGAAACTGAAATGTGTCTGATCTCCAATTGCTGGGCAAATGCCTCCCCCCAGAACAGAGATCCAAATCCCTTTCCCTCACATTCTCCGTCCCACCTGCTCTCCTGGGTCATCCAGCTCTCTCTCTAAATCCTCCAGCACAGTCACTGCCTCCTCCCCGCTCTCTGGATGCTGCTCCCGCACCCAGCTCTGCAGTTCTCCAGGCAGGATGGTCAGGAACTGCTCCAGCACCAGCAGCTCTAGGATCTGCTCCTTGGTGTGCATCTCAGGTTGCAGCCATTGTCGGCAGAGCTCCCGGAGCCGGCTCAGCGCCTCGCGGGGCCCAGGTGTCTCTTGATAGCAAAACTGCCGGAACCGCTGGCGAAAGAGCTCCCTGGTATGGGTTTGTTTCCTTTGAAAGCTGGATTCTTGTCGCCAAATATGTTCATCTTCCTCTACCTTCACGATCTGAAGCCCCACAGGCTCCTGTGGAACTTGGAGGGACAACTCTGCAGCTTCTCTTGGCTTCATGGTCTGCTGGGTTGAAACTCCTTCAAAATGTATTAAACATTCTCCGTTGAGATACTCCCCTTAAGGTTCTCTTCAGGGTGGAAAAGCTGTAAGAGACAACAGATCACAAACCTAAATAAATCCCCAGATAAAAAATTTTTGCTGTTCCTGCTTCCCAAAGTTGCCCCCTCCTCTGCGATTCCACAGCATTCGTTCATCTCCTCCATAGTACTTAGCAGATGGTGCTGGAATCACTGGCTTTTATCAATATCTCTACCACAGAAGCTGTTTTTCCCCTTTTTACATAACAATCTCACCTTCATATAGTGCTTTACAGTTTACAGAGTGCTTTTACAAACATTATTTTCTTTATGTCACAGTAAAACAGCAGGATAAGAGCGAAAAAGAAGCAAATAACCCATCACCACAAATAACTCTGAGGCACCAGAAAAGAATAAACAGGAAAATCTTCTCTTGGTTAAACCTAGACAGGAGCCGAAGTAACCTTGGTTTTTGGAGCCTGTGGGCTGTGACAGACCCTCGGAGCCGCTGCAGAAAGAGCCCAGGCCAGATGGAAAAGCTGGTGGTCCTCAAGAACCCGGGTCTGGTTAGCGCCAAGGACCGCCTCGGAGTCCAGAGTTTGAAATGTCCGGGGGGGCCAGCCCGGAAAAGTGGACTCCAACTCTGGCCCCAATCAGCCCGCTCAGCTGCTCCCTTCGCGGAGCCCAGGAACCACCTACCCCCTGACTGGCTAGGTCTCCACCACCGCCACTCCAGCCAGCGAATCCGATCTTCTCACCAGGAACTCCAAGTGGGTGAAGGGGAAGTAAAAATTAACTTCTAACTGACCGTAAAGAAGCCGATCGCAGAGCCAGCCCAGCCTACAGAAACCTAGGTTACTTCCGGATCCTCTCTAGGACGCTGGGAGGTCTCGCCTTCTCAGTGGTTCCCCAGCCTTTGTTTCCTCCACTGAGAGAGTTGCAAAACCGCCAAAAACTCTCAAACTCATACCCAGCGTTAACCAGCTGTTTGCTTCTCCTGCAGTTCAGATCAAACTCCCCTTTCCAAGGAGTTTCTCCAAGTCAAGAACTACATATTATACATTATCGCTAATCCCACTCTTGGATTCTTTCAAGTGATGCAGGCTACAGGTATAGAGAGGAGCTCCCCAACAGAGATTACAAGGCCAAGCCTTTTGGCTCTACCTAATTTCCCCTAGAAAGGAGCTCTGGTGTGGTACTGGTTAAAGCATTTGGCTGCTAACCAAAAGGTAAGGAATTAGAACCCACCAGTCACTCTGCAGAAGAAAGATGAGGCAGTCTGCTTCTGTAAAGATTTACTGCCTTGAAAACCCAATGGGGTTCGCTGTGAGTCTGAATCTACTCCATGGCAGTGAGTTTGGTTTTGGTGAGTATCCCCTAGAAGAAGCCCTAGTGGGGCAGTAATTAAGAGTTTAGCTGTCCCCAAGTATTGATTTGGATGAAGGGAAAGACAGTATACCAAAAGCAAGTGACCAACACAACACCAAGGAAAGGAGACACAGAGATGCACAAGACATACAGACAACAAAGACAAACACTTTCAGATACACAGTACTGCATTACCAATAAAAATAAACATTCTATGGGTGGACACATAGGTAAACAGGCTGAATGATCAGGTATGTCTAGGCAAAAGGGAATATACTCATGACTGTACATAAGTTTGGCAGACAATGTTTCTACATATGTATTTGTATATGCTATAAGAATGCCCATATAAAGGGATGTACGAGATCCTGCATAGAGACAGAGAACAATGTGGAACAAAATTCAAAATCATTTGGAGGCAAAAAAAAAAAAAGGTGGGGACCAGGTTTGCTGGTCCAATAGAGCCTGGTGGAACCACTGAGACTATGGCCCCTAGCTGCCCTTCAGGTCTGGAATTGAACCCACACCTGTGGTTTCCAGCCAAACAAAGTACAGGCAAGTGAGTTAAACATTTACCTCAAGTAGACACACACCCTGGAGAGAACAATCATGGGAGAAGGAAGGGCTGCTTATGCACAACGCAGAAGAGTATGGAAGGATGGACACTGGGAAGAGGTAACTATGGGGAGGAAGTGGGAGGGGAGCTGTTGCATTGTAAATTTTGGTCAATGACATGAGACAAAGTATATGTGAACTGCTGTATGAAAAGTGAATTTACTCTGTAAATCTTCACAGTAAAACAAAAAAAATTAAAAAAAAATATATATATATATATAAATAAATAAGAATGCCCATATATATGTAACAGATCTAAAGGGAGCTCTGGTGGTGTAGTGCCTACAGCATTTAACTGCTAACTAGACGGCTGGTGGTTCAAACCCACCAGTCACTCCTGGGAAGTAAGATTGGGCAATCGTCTTTCATAGAGATGTTGTTGTAGTTATTTGCCGTCAAGTCAGACCCGATTCATAGCGACCCCTCCTTGGGTTTCCAAGGCGGTATCATTACAGAAGTAGATTGCCCAACTTTCCTTCTGCCTTGGAAATCCAAGAAGGGGTTGAATTGTCTCGACCACAGTGAGTTTGGTTTTTTTCATTTAAAGGGGCAAAAGTATAATAACTTCTTAGCCACAGCCAAACACCCTGAGGGAGTAAGTTGTTGGGCTCATGAGCTTGGAAGCATGGTCAAGGGGGACATCAAGCTCAATTGGCATAACATGCTACACAAAAACATTATTCTACCTCTTACTTTGGTGAGTAGTGTCTGGGGTCTTAAAAGCTTGCACTTGGCCTTCTAAGATGCAACAGTTGGTCTCTGGTGGCGTAGTGCCTGAGGCCTATGACTGTTAACTGAAATACTGGCGGTTGAAACCCACCAGCCACACCTCAGAAGAAAGATTAGGCAATCTACTTCCGTACTGATACCGCCTCAGAAACCCAAGGAGGGGTCACTATGAGTCAGATTTGACTCAACACAGTGATTTTTTTTTTTTCCCATCTGGAACAAAGAATGAAGAAAACCAAAGACACATAGAAACAATTAGTCCAAGGGACTAGTGGACGATGTGAACCTCAGCCTACATCACTGTGAGTCCAAAAGAAATAGATAGTGCTCAGCTACCACTGTAAACCACTCAGAAAGGGATCAGTGTACTCCTACACCTAGATAGTTGTTGTTGTTGTTATGTGCCCAACTCATAGCGACCCCACCTTGGGTTTCCGAGGCAGTATCACTATGGAAGTAGATTGCCCCATCTTCCTCCCGAGGAGTGGCTGGTGGGTTTGAACCACCAGCCTTCTGGTTAGCAGTCAAATGCTTAGCCACTATGTTACCAGAGCTCCCACACCTAGATAGAGTGGGAGAAAAATGTGGAACAAAACTCAAAATCATAACAAAAAAGACCAGGCTTACTGGTCTGATTGAGCCTGGTGAAACCTCCGAGACTATGGCCCTTTGTCACCTTTTGGGCCTGGAACTGAACCCACTCCCATGGCTTCCAGCCAAACAATAAACCAAAAAGAAAAAAAAACCTGACTGCCATCAAGTCAACTCATACTGACCCCTCCTTGGGTTTCCCAGGTGGTATCTCTACAAAAGTAGATTGCCCAGTCTTCCTTCCTAGGAGTGGCTGGTGGGTTTGAACTGCCAGCCTTCTGGTTAGAAGTCAAATGCCTTAGGCACAGATAAGGTGAACATTTACACTAGATAGGTACACTCTTCAGAATGATCAACATGGGAGATCAGAAGGGCAGTATTTGCACAGGGAGAGAGCACAGAGGGCAGGAATGCATAGGAAAGGATGTAGGATAGAGGTAACCACAGGGAGGAAGTGGGAAGAGAGCTGTTACATTATGGGGATTGCAATCAATGTCATGAAACAAAATGTGTATAAACTTTTCTATAGAAATTAAATTTGTCTGTAAACTTCCACCCAAATCACAATTTTAAAAAAAAAAAGAGCTCAGCTGCCAACCACAAGGTAAGTGGTTTGAACCCACCAGCCACTTTGTGGGAGAAACATCTGGAGTCAGCTTCAGCACAGATTAAAAATTCAAAAGCCAAACTCACTGCTATCGAGTCAATTATGACTCATAGCAACACCCATTGGGTTTCCAAGGCTGTAAATCTTTATGGAAGCAGACTCCCTCATCTCTCTTCCACAGAGTGGCTGGTGGATTTGAACTATCCACTTTTGGTACAGCCTTGGAAACGCTATGGGGCAGTTCTACTCCGTCCTATAGGGTTGCTAAGAGTTGGAATTGACCACCGTGGAAAACGGTGTGGTGCATCATTCAAAAGTTAGAAATATCATATAACCCAGCCATCCCATTACTAGGTATGTACCTTACAGAAATGAGAGCCATGACACAGACAGACATATGTATACCTATGTTCATCACAGCACTATTCACAATAGTAAAAATGATGCAAACAACCTAAGTGCCCATCGTTGTTGTTGTGTACCATCGAGTCACACCTGACTCATAGTGACCCCTCCTTGGGTTTCCGAGGCAGTATCACTACCACTACGGAAGTAGGATTGCCCAACCTTCCTTCCGAGGAGTGGCTGGTGGGTTTGAACCACCAGCCTTCTGGTTAGCAGTCAAGTTCCTTAGCCACTATGCTACCAGAGCTCCCAAGTGCCCATCAGTGGATGGTAAATACTATTACATTTACAATCCTGCAATAAACAAACTGGTACATACATACAATGGAATACTGTGCAACATTAAAGAATAACTATGAGTATTTGAAACACCTTATAGCATGGATGAACCTGGAGGACATTTTGCTGAGAAAATTAGTCAAACACAAAAGGACAAAATATTGTATGAGATCAATACTATAAAAAATCAAGAGAAGGGGGTTCTCTGTAGGAGGCCCTGGATAGAGTGAGAGAACAATGTGGAACAAAACTCAAAATCATTTGGAGAAAAAAAAAAGGTGGGGGTAGGGAGTAGACCAGGTGCGCTGGTCTGATAGAGCCTGATGGAAGCACTGAGACTATGGCCCCTAGCTGCCCTTCAGGTCTGGAACTGAACCCACACCTGT